TAATTAGATGTCTCATATGTCTTTCAAACATATCATAAAGTAGAAAGTTAAATGTATCTATTTGCACCAAAATGAGCCACATTTTCCACTTCAAGTAATAATGAATCATTTAATTGTTTGAATCAGTCATACCAGACTGGCAGCAACTGGGACTTAAGATCCTTTTTGTCCCTTACTAAGTTTCCAGCCTATATTTACTTAACAGTGCTAGTATAATTTCTTTTGTGATACTCTGTGCTTGGTTTTCAGCCCTGAGTTTTTACAGAAGAACATTATATGAAGATGCTAGTTAGTGTCAGTGAAAATGTGGGTGAATGAAAATGTTTTTTGCCAATATGCGTAGAAGAACACCAGTATTCTTTTTCTGCAAATTGACATCACATATTTTAATGTTTTATCATTATTCATAGATTGTTTTATTTAAGTGCCTGCATTGTGCTTATTATAGCAAAATACACGCTTTTGCAAAGATAAGTTTAGCAGGAGAGAATTAATTCCTTCCCACACCTTTTAATGTGGCATGGCAGTTTCACTCTAAGATCAAAACACATAACTGAAGGTTATGTTTAATTTCTAAATCAAAGTGTTGTGGGAAGATGATTGAAATCTGAAGATGACTCAGATCACTTGATATGTGGTTTTCTTCCTACAGAAACCTTATGGTAGTCTGCCATTTCCAGGTTAGAAAGAAACTAAGTGATGCGATTAAAATAAATAGTTTCACTATATACTGAAAGTTTGTGAGTTACTTTGGTAACTTAGAATTTAAAAAAAAAAAAAAAAACTTGAAGAGCTTCAGTATCGTAGGAACCTATTCTACCACCCAGTCTGTGCTCTTTTTAATCATGGGGACAAAAAAGTAATCCCTTTATTTTACCAACTTTTAATTTTTCAGGACAATTTTTGTGATTTTTATTTTTTACCCAAAATATGGCATATCTACATGTATTCTTATGATGGCTCTTTCACAGCATACAATTCTTTATGTGCCTCGAAGAGTAAATTAAAATTATGTGGCCCCATCAACGCTGCCCGTTTTCCTGAGGCATGATAAATCGTGATCGTGATGTATCTCCACCAGAGTGTGAACTTGTTGGTTTTCTCATGTCTGTTTCTTAAAGCAATCAGGCAAAAATACTCACCGATAGCTAAAATTGATTTTTTTTGCAGGTATTTTAAAAATAGAAATTAAAAATTTCGTCCCCGAGTCTGGATTTCACTCACTGTCCCTTATCTGAACCTCCCCAAGGCCGCTCTGTGCAGCACAGCTCACTCAGACAGTCCAGCTCAGAGGAGGAAGTGAAGAGTTTTGGTTCCCATTTTACACTTCTGGAACAGTTTAGGGAAGGAAGCACCTTTACACCTTTTATTGTTCGTGGTTGCTGACATCACATCCTTCCCTGACCAGTCTGTGCGTGTTTCCTGCCATTCTGTCAAGACTCTTCTGTGTTACTGGGAGGGATTTGTAGGAGGCTGGGAGGGAGGGAGGAGGCGGGAGGGAGGGAGGGAAGGAGGGAGGGAGTAAGAAAAGAGGGAGGTAGAGAAGAGGGGGAAGGGAAGCGGGATGTGGGTATCACTCAAGGGAACTTGTTTATAACTGAGAGAGCCGGTGGGAGAGGATCTTTAGCACCTATCCACACGAAATTCTTCTCTACTTGGGTCTCACACCACTTGGCCTTCATGTGCCTGCTTATGCCAAACAAAAAGTGAACAGAAGCCTTCCATACTGAAGTTCCCCTTTTTAGTAAGCAGCCTGATTTTATTTTTCTCATATTTAGGTTGGCAAACAGAAAAAACAATGCAGACGACAGGAACTCTATAGAGTGTAACTGTGGTAGAGAATTTTTTTTTCTTTCTATTTTTTTTTTTAATTACTGATTGTTTTTATGGGACTCTGTCATTTTCCAAGAATGCTTCTTTCATGTGGAAAGAAGTAGCAGCAAGCCTGCAGGAATTATTTTAAGCTTATGGTTGATTGTACATAGTGGAAGTTTTCAGCATAACTTGAAATTCTACTTCGTGTAGTTTAGCTATTATATTCTTTCCTTCATATGCATACAAGACAATTTTACAGATTAGTCAAGTTACATAATCTCTTTTTCATCCTCTCTGGGCTTCCTACAAATGAATGCTTGAAACCAACCTTACAATATAATTTTTGCATAAAAATTAGGTTAGAGAAGTTGTTATGCTAAGAAAACAGCTACTGAGCTGTTGTTGACCTTCCTAACTCTCTGAGTTTCTACTGACAGCCTTGAAATGTTGTGACTCACAATCCAATGTTCTCAGCCATGTGTTCCATGACACATTTCTCCAGGAAAACAATCACATCACCACCTAGCATTCTGCATATATATACTTAAGAATGTAAAAATTGTCTTGTAGCAATATTCAAAAGGCAACACTTGAAGAAATATTTATTTTACAGTAAAAAAAATATTTTAATTTTATTGAAATTTATACTTGCTTCTCTCTATTGCATATTTCAAATAGAAAAATGTACCTAGTGGCATTTTTATCAACTATTTTATATATATGTACATATATATATTTGATATATACATATAAATGTTTTCTGGCAAAATATTCCCCATTGTGTTTTGAGAATTAAAAAAAAATCCTTTCTTTGCTCTTTTTGAAAAGTTCTCTCACTACAAAGTTGTGAAATAACTGGGTGGTGATAGGGAAGAACCCTTCTAAGTTTGGTTCGTCAGGAACTCTCTCTGTCTTTCTGAGGAGAATCTTTTCTCCAGGGATGTCTCTCTGCTTGTCTGGTTATTTGTATTTTGAAATCGGGATCTGTGGAAGTTCTCGTCTTGTCCGCCTTGTCACCACACTAATCTGCTCACCCTGACCTTCCACCTTCAAGTGAATAAGCGCTTAGGCAGGCAGAGTCCTGTAAGCCGATAGTGCCACGGGCCTGAGCTAAATGAAAGAAAGGAAACTGTCTCATTTGCATTTGCTGTGGATTCATGGGTTGGCTTTTCTGTAATAGAGGAAGCCTGCTCGTCTCTGGGGTCTTGCACATGCATGGGAAATACCATTCTAACGTGCTGCTTGGTTCTAAGGTAAGACGATAGGAAACGCAGGAAAGTTGCCCAGTTGAGTGATATTTAAGACCATTTCTAAAAATAGATAAATGGACAATGGCAATAGTGAATATATGATGCAATTGTGCTTTGTGGATTTTTTAAATGTGATTTAATATATATTCAAATAACTAATTTTCTCATGTATGTTTGTCAAATGTATGTTATTTATATAACTCTTTAAAACTTTTGAACTACTTCCAACATTTAAAATCACCACTGGGGTAATAACTAGTTTCTGATGAGCACTGTGTGGTCATGATGTTACTCAATACATGTCTTCTCAGAGGCAGGAGTGAGCTGCAGTTTAATAGAAAGGCATTGGGCAAAAGAGAATAAATGGTCTTAGTATTTAAGCAGCACCTAATCCACCAGAACTAATTATATCATAATAGCTTCTCCAATTAGATCATCAGAAAACTTAAAATTAAAAAAAAATTACTCAAGGTGATAAAAAATATAGAAATTGAGTTTGAAAAAATCAGAAGAGAGCTGATGATCAGAGCAAGTATATAACAGCTTTCCTGTTCCAATAACTTCGAATTGGAGCCAATTAATCTATTCAATAGCCAGGACACTGGATTAACATTACATCAGGAATGTGGGAATTTACCAGGTTGCTCATCAGACACCAACTAAAATAAACAGGGAAATACTAAGCAATGGGCAAAGTAGTTGCATTCTTTGACGTGAGATGGGACAGAAGAACTGAAGCTGTTGCTTGCCAATGAAGAAGCCACTGTGGAATGCTTTCTTGTTAACTTCCACATGTCACGGCAATTCCCTTTCCTTACATTCAAACACTCCCAGATGTACTTCACAACAAAGTAAAATATATTCTTGTGATACTCTAGATTTCCTGGGCTTCCCTTATATTACTGATGTTCATTTCATTAATATTAATTCATGACCTAAAGACATCCAGTATATAATAGCAAGTTTCTGTAATTTTTGTCTTACTCCCCAAAGAGATATGATGTCTTTTTAAAATATTTAAATTTAGAGAACCGATGGCTTATTATAAAAAGTGTAGTTATAAATGAAATAATACTCTGATTTTTTTTTTTTTATGAATGATTATCTTCTTGGATTCTTGTACTGAAGATGTAGCTTAAGGGCTTTCAAAAGGACGAGATCTCACTGCTGATAGCTGCTGGTTATGTAACATTAAATATCCCGTATGCTTTTTACAATGTTCTCATAGCAGTGGCTTTTAAAAAATAAGATTAAAGGATTTAGATTTAAATTAGTTGACATTTTCATATATCAAATAGCACTTTCATAATAGTCCATCCTATTTGCATAACGAGGGACATTATCACCTCTGCTGTCAAAACACGAGATTGTTTTCCCTTCAGAAATGAATTAGCTGCCTACTTAGCATACACAGGTACATAAAGGTTCATTAACTCTCTGATTTAGGTAATTTTTCACAACAGAAGGGTGCAAATAGTCACCTAATTTTATTTTTAAAATATTAAGAAACTCTGCAAAAAGACACATTCCAACCGTCGGCCTTTAAAGCACAGTTTTCATCATTTAAATGACTGTTAGATTACTTATGAGGTTATTGTCATTATAAAAACAAACGATTCCTACTTTATGTGCTCCTGCATGTGACATACCATGAACTTTTAATAAGCACTTATTTTCATTCATTTGATAGGCTTCCTGCCATGTAGTTGTTTGTTTCTTAATAATTAGAATATGAGAGTTCTTCTGAAACTGACTTGCTGTTATAGGGGTACTGAATTTATGTTGTTCTTCAGCAGGAACGAATGCAGGAATTTGGGAACTGAGCTGTGCAAGTGCTGAAGAAGGAGATTTGTTTGGAGGAAGCAGGAAAGAGAAAGAAAAGGAAGGAAAAAATACATAATTTCAGGAACGAGAGAGAGAAGAAAAACGGGGACTATGGGGAGAAAAAAGATTCAGATCACGAGGATTATGGATGAACGTAACAGACAGGTGAGTGGGAAAAACTTTTTTTGTGTCATTACTTAACATGGACTATTTATTACATTTCCCCCAGGTAGGTTAAGGATCCTGAATACATTATGAACTTAAAAACATCCATTAAGAGAAGTGTCAGTGAATTGAACGTGGCCAGTTTAGTGCTAATGGTCTCTTATATATATATAGGATGTCCCCCCCAAAAGTGTACACGCACTTTGAATAATTATAAAGGCAGTATTTATTAAAATACATCTTCAAAATTGAGCCATCAGCTGTTTATGTGTGTATACATGTTAGGGACACTATATATACAAAATATATGTAGCCATGTATATATATGTATGTACATATATATGTGTGTATGTATATATATACATATATATATGTAAAAAGAAAAAAAATCACCATATCTTTTAGAAATACAGTTTATATCTTCATGGTTATTCACTTCTTACTTCAACCTGAATTCTAAGTGCAAGCTGTACTTGTGTAATATAAATAGCTTGATAATCAAGAGTTAATAAGCATGACATTGCTACATTGCACGCATCATCAAACAAAGATGTTCTTCTATTCATGGGCACAAGGCCTTTTGTGGTCATCTATTTAAAAGGTTTATATAATAAGCTAAATATCGTGAAAAAAATAGCTTTCATTCTATTCACAGGTTTGAATTACATCCAAAATATTTAACATGACTTGACAACAACAACAAAGAAAATACCCACGTAAAATATTAGTAATTTAAAGCATGTAGGCAAGAAATATTAATCCATACCATTTTCTTTAAACCCTGACTTTTATGCACATAGAGGCAAATTATGTTATAATTTTTCCTAGATATCTGTGTGATACAATTGATCTGTACTAAAGACATTAATTATACATCCAAATGCTCTATTCAGCAAAGAGTTGTATATCATAATATCTGTCATCTGACTGTATTTTCCTTCACACTTGGAGAGGTGGATTTAGCTAGGCAACGTAAGGAGAGGTAGGCGGGTTGTCTGTATGCCAATGTTAAATATCAAATAATGATTCCTGGGGGCAACTACAATAAGTCAGATCACAGCCACTGCAAATGGATAATGGGACCTATAATGGGACATTCCTTGTCCTTGGACAAGAAGAATCTTTTTGCTTTTGCCCCATTTACACTAGGGAAAGCTTAAGAGGACAGCTTTGGAGATACCCCACAAGACCGTAATTTTCCCCAACTAAAGACCCTCTCTCTCCTGTATTGTCCCTTTCTATCTCTTTGAAACACTAAGTGAGACTAGAACTGATTCATGGTTTAAAATGTTAAGTTGCTACCTGTGTGAATTAAAGCGAATAAAGGTTGTTATTTATGCTGTCAAGCCAGTATGCTATTAAGAAGTAAAGAAACTTTTTAGATTTTTATGTTCATAATTCCTTAAATTGGTATATTTAAGGGACATAGGACTTGAAATATTTCTGGCTGAAAATTAAGCTAAAGGATGACTAATGCTAATATTTATAATGTATTTCTTCAGAGCTTTTCTTCCATATTGTTTATTCCTATGGGTCAAGCCAAAAAGCAATATTTTTTTTCAATATAAAACCAGAGTATTTTTACTTGACTTATAGATTAAAATTAAAACTGAAACATTAAACAGAATGTACCATTGACTGCTTAAACCTAGCTATTTGGACTGGAATTTATTTGGTTATAGTCAGAAGTTATATGAATTAGCACTTACACTTCATTAATAATACCAACTAACTTTTAGGCTCATGAAATCCATCATATCTTTTGCTTGCGAATAGAGAAGAAAATTTTTGCAGCTGGAATTCATGAGCTCTTATTATGCTTTATAAAGGAACATAAAACTCACAGAGGGAAACATGAATTTTAACACCATACTTTTGAACTAATAATTGAACATCTCTTCTTAATTTAAATATAATGTGTCTACAGTTGCTATAACACTCACCTATGTTGGAAGTCATAATAACTTTAAAAGAAAAAATATTTAAATTTAGCTTAGTTTATTTTTTTATTTATCCTCAAGACAAATTTCTTATTTTATCCTATAGAATTTGGGATTTTTTCCCCAGTCTTTAGGTACTAGTACAGTAGGCCCTTTAATTCATCACCCTTAAATGTAATTAGTAAAATTGAAAACTTGCATGTTTTAACATATGTTTCAGTGGCTATCTTAGATGGCCATTGGCAATCGTCAGCAGCCATCTTCCTTCCAAATGTTTGTCATGTGCACCTCTCACCTACTGCAAGAGTGGTCATGAGAACTATTGGGAGAGAGCTTAAAAGAGGTAGGTCATCGCCCTAACTGGTTTGGCTCAATAGATAGAGCATTGGCTTGAGGACTCAAGGGTTCCAAGTTCGATTCTGGTCAAGAGCATGTACCTTGGTTGCAGGCACATCCCCAGTAGGAGGTGTGCAAGAGGCAGCTGATTGATGTTTCTCTCTCATTGATGTTTCTAGCTCTCTTCCTTCTCCCTTCCTCTCTGTGAAAAATCAATAAAATATATTTTTTTAAAAAGAGGTAGGTCACTTCTAATAATCAACCCCGGCAAATCTGAAAGAGCATGTCAGACGAACTATGGAGGCTCCCCTAAACTGGGCTTCCTTTGAGCTATGTGTTCACAAGTTGAAAAGAAAAAGTTAACTGCTTTGCCTTTTTGAAGCTTCCCCCACTGTAGCCTCCTTGGCGGAGCCTCACACAATGGTTCACAGTCAGCTTTTCCTTAACGCAGTGAAAGCCTGCTCTGCCATTGCAGGTGTTTATTTGGCAATATGGAGAACCAGGTTTTTTTTGGTTTTGGTTTTTTTTGTGTGTGTGTGTGTTTTTTGTGTTTTTTTTTTTTACAGAATAAGAAATACTGGCGTAAAGTGTGAAATGAAATATTGCAGAGCAGATGTGATAAATTTTATATCATTAAGAAATAAAACTGTTGTAAAACAGAGAAGCTTACTGTTTCAATTGAATTTTGCCCATATTTTATCTTTCGTTATGGAAGTAGGGAACAGCTAAAATTCAGAAAGTCCAAATGATATATGTAATAGTTTAGGAGAGGAAAATTATTAACAGCTTTAAAAATTTTTTTTTAAATTTCCCAGAGTTTCTAAGTTTATGAAAACTACTGAATTTCTAGCTTAACCAAGATGGGTTTCTTAAGCAAGTATATAAAAATAAAATAAAATTCTGAATTCTCAATTTGCCTTGCAGAAATTTTCAGATAACTTAATAAAAGCAGCTACAAGTTCTGAGAACTACGTATATATTATTTCAGTTAATCCTTATCAGCCCCATTTACAGCTGAATAATTTATTAATTTATTAAATCAACAAATATTACTAGCTTGCCATGTGCCCAGCATTAAGATGCAGTAGAAACAAGAAGAATCTCATCCAGCTTATCAACTGCTGCGGAAGTCATCAAACGTTTTCTGTCAAGGGCCAGATAGCAAATATTTCTGGTCTTGTGATCCATACACATACAATGTCTGTCTCAACTACTTGTCTCTGCCCCAGTAATGAAAGCAGCCATGGACAAAATGCAGGTGAATGCGCCTGTGTGAAAGCAGCCATGGACAAAATGCAGGTGAATCCAGCCTGCCCTCACTACCCCTTTTTATCAGTAAAGTTTGAAACTTTATTGATAAAAAGGGGTAGTGAGGACAGGCTGGATTTGGCCTGTGGATCGTAAGCTGTAGGCCTATGGCCCAGGAAGATGAGTCAGCCATGAAATATGCAAATTTATAACAAAGTTTTGTTCATAGGTGTTATGAATGAAAGTGTGAAAGTGCTATGAATGAATAACAGGAGGTACTTTATTTAGATTGGGGGTCAAGGGAACACCTCTCTGAGGAAATGCTAAAGATGGGATCATTAAGATAGAGTCAGGCAGGTGACAACATTCCAGAGGAAACAAATGAGGAAGCTGAAGAAAAGCCTGTGGAGCTTGACCTTGGTTCATATAACTTTACAGAAATGAGAGAAAAGATTGAATGTTAGACAGAGGCCAGGTCATGCAAAGCTTTGAACTCAGTTAATACCAGGAGGTAGCCAAAATTTGAGCCCAAATCTTTCAGATTGAAACACAAAACATGATTTTCTCAATTAAATTTTATTCCATCCTGCATAATATAATAGCTAAGAACATAGTTGTAGGTCATAGCTTTTCCCAATTACATCCTGCTGCACCCCGTATAATATAATGGCAATGAGCACGGTTGGAGTAACACACAAACCTAGATCTGGTCCCAGTTCTGCCATCTACCAGCTGTATTTCTTTTCATCAAGTGCCTTAACCTCTCTGAGCCTCATCTATTCCCTCATCAGTATAGATTGAGGGTTTAAAAAAAAAAATAGTACCCACCTCATTAGGTCATTGAGATAATCAAATTAGGGGATAAAGGTAAAACATCTGACATATAATATGTGCTCAATAAATTTCCTAATTAAGCTATTCCTATTAAGACACATGCTCTTTGAACCATGAGCTATTATGTTATAGTTTATGTGATTTCCATCCAAGCAACTCCTGCTCTGTATACTACACTAAAGAATGGTACCTGAACTTTCATTTCATGAGTGTTTTACCTTAAAAAGAGTATCAGGGAGATGGAAGGAATGTGGAACAGAGTAGTGCAGGAGCACAAAGGGGTCCTTAGAAAAAAAGGGGTGAGAGAGTCATTTCAGACCAAGAGCCGGATGATGGAGGAGGATGGCTGGTGGACACGAAGAAAAAAGTCTTAAGTTCTTTTCTTTCATCAGATCTGGCTCACAAATAGTTTTTTACCAGCAAACAAAGTTTTATATAATTATCGGTGCAATAACTGGAGCACAAATTAAAGACAATTACAATATTCTCCTGTTAATAGAACAGCAGAATCCCTTTATGACTAAAAGGAATTCAAAGTTCATAGCTATTAAATTTTTTAACTTTTTCTCTTGAGATGTATTGATTTCCTCAAGTGACTTTCTTTTAAAAAGAAACAAAGCTTACTCCATTTTCCTGTTTCCC